TTCCAAGCTCGTTCGCAAGTATCCTGCTGGTGTGCACACTGCACATGATCACATTTTTCATCTTTTCATGGCTGCTGCGTACTAATAATGTATTTAGCTCTTATATGTACAGTAGTTCCCAGCAGAATAGCCATATATGTACAAAATATATTCCTTGATTTTCTATATAGTGGCAATCACTATAATAGGGAGTAGTGAATGAGTGAGTGATTTTGGACAGCAAATGTTCACACCCAATCAGGGCTTGGCATTAACTTTTTTGTACACCAACCGCTGTGGCTTGTGGTTTTCCAAAGTTAATAGCCACTCAGCATTCAACTGGCCACAATTTTGTTGTTGGGAAATTATGGTTTATATGAATAAAGTTGATTATGGAGTGCTAAAATATGACATGACTTACAAGGCATGATTTACAATTTAGGTACAGGTTTTCACAAAAACAAAACATTTTATAAAATGATAAACATTTTAGCCTTTAAACCATTTTTTAAGAAAAGGGATGAGTCAAAAGTATAAATAAATAGGCTATATTAATAAAAAAAAATATAGCCTGCTTAAAAATATGGGTCAATTTTCACACTAGTCTGAACAAAAATGGAACAAAAACAAAAACTAGTCTCTACAAGTGCCATCTACTGGCAGAGAATGAATGTGCATTTTCAATAAGCCCATCTGCTATTTTTGTTCAGACTAGTGTGAAAATTGACCCTTATTTTTAAGCAGCAAACACGCAGTTGTAAATGTGAACCGGTGGGTTGACCACAAGCTATGCCTTCTAAAAATCTAAACAACTGTTTAGTTAAATCTAAACAACTCTCTCTCTCTCTCTCTCTCTCTCTCTCTCTCTATATATATATATATATATATATATATATACTTTATCAGGCATTACAGATAAGGTGAACTGAAAATGCCATTGAATCTTTTCTGAAGATAGTCGGTTCCTTTCAGAGGTGCGTTCATTTAAAAACAGCCAAACCACGTTTTGACTTTGAAACGTTTAGCTTATATTTATTCAATGAAATCACAATCTTTTCAAGTTTAGCCCTCACATTAAGACATATCTTCTTGTCTTTCTATCCCCAGATTTAAGATCTTGAAATTATAATAAAGACTTTTATGACTAAATTCAAGACTTTTTAGTTTGCATTCTGTTCTATGGAGAAAAACATTTTATAGAGAAAAATTGTGACCTTGGACCACAAAACCAGTCATATACTAATCAAAAATTAAGTTTTGATATATTTACGGTAGGAAATTTACAAAATATTTGCATGGAACATGATCTTTACTTAATATCCAAATAATTTTTGGCATAAAAGAAAAATCGATAATTTTGACCCATTCAGTGTATTGTTGGCAATTGCTACAAATATACCCGTGCTACTTATGACTGGTTTTGTGCTCCAGTCACAATTGGCATGGATACTAGTGTGATGGCTAGTGGTGCCACCACACAATTACAAAAATAAAGCATATTTTCAAACAACCTTTGTAAACGCCCCTTACACTCATCACACCATTACAATTATTAAAATCCTTACGATATCTTACTACTTTATCTGGGGCTTGTCAGTAAAGAGATAACGTGACAAAAACATAAGTTTTGCTCAAAAAGAACCTTGGTAATTTTGGCATCTCCATTGAAACTCAAATCTCAAAAGCGCTAATGTTTACTCTTGTTTTACTCCTTTGTCTGTCTTTGCATATTTGGGCAAGTCTTCAAAATTTGGCTTGCAATTCTATATCAGAATCTGAATTGCTTCTGTTCAGCTTGCTACCATGCCCCAAACTCTCGCTATTGGTTGAGCTAGAAAGAGACTGACAGATATGAGCGGATCACCCTAAATGTTTTGATGGTTCCTGGGAGGCTTGTTTACACTTTTGGGGGAGATAAACCCATGAAATGGCCTACTTACAGAAGCCAATGAACAATAAAATAGGTTAAGAGAATGTATTTTGACATAAACTTCACCTTTAGCTTTATTAGCTATCATTTACATGCAGCACAGAATGCAATATTTACATATTCTAGCATGGGGCTGAAGCCGTATCATACCCTGTTTCACACCCCCAATCATTTATAAGGCAAATGAATGCAAAGCTTGCTACCCATCGTGTACTGTGTAAAATGCCATTAATTCCTGCTAGAGCTTTCAAGCTGTGTTCCCCAAACTCAGCACAGTACTTCAGGCTGTTCTGACTTAGTAGGCTTTATTTTTTCGAATTGATCAGACTTGATTGTCCTGTAGTGAAAAGCCTTTCATCCATACATTCAAACTATTAAAACATTTCAAGCAAGGTTTTGTCTAGCCAGTGTCTGAGTTTGTCATGACAAATTCTCTTTTTCTAGATAGCGTATGCCTCCGAATGTGACAAGCCATTTAGTGTTTGTCCTGATGATTCATTTTAGACCTGCATGGTCCAGTGCATGATGTGGCATAGCAGTGCCAATCTATCATCCACTGGCTGTAGTTGGATGTTTTCTTTTTTGGTTTTGTTCATGGTCTTTTTGCCTTTACAGTAATAATAGGACAGTTAAGACAAGACAGGAACGTGGATGGCTGTTTACTGACATGGGATGCATTCCCCATGAACACAACTGCTTTCTATGTGTCACATGCATGTGCACAAGTCACTGTACCATGGCTTTGAATACCGTTGCTTATAGCACCTATATTTTATACCATGTCTTTTTTATTTCTATTTGCCAGTGTGTTGGTTTCATCGATAGCTATTTGCAGAAACCAGCTTTACTATTTTCTCTAGCAAGTCCTCAAAAGCATTATAGCTGCATTCAGGTTTAAACACATACGTTTGAATACATTTTTTACATTTTGAAAGAGCATTTGCATAAGAGTAGTTAAAAATGTATGCAATGGAAGAGCTTTGTAGATTAGCACACTAAAGGTTTGAGTCTGCACTTGCGGCTTGATAAATGTTTATGGTGCACCGAGAGCTCAGCAATTACTCCGCTATGAAGTTATGGCACAGTCATGTTTTATGGAAGGCCTGATATTGAACTGTGCTCTACAGTGTGAACATCTTTAGAGGTACTATTGTCCTATGAAACATTTAACACCATTGTGATAAGGACTGATTGCCATCTGTGGGTTCAGTAAGGAATGCTGTCAAGATGCCAAGACTGTCACAATCATGGACTTTAGTTTTGTCATTTACAGTCATTTAGTTTGTTGGTCATTAGTTCCTGTTTCCTTTGTTTGAATTCCCACTCCTCGTTTGTTATCATTTGTGTCCAGCTATCATTTCGTTTGTGTTGTCTGTATAAACCCTTCCCTCACGTTCAGTCGGTGTCTAGTCACCGTTATGCTATGTTGTTTTTGCACCCTCTGTATGCCTGCCTAGTTGGATTATTCAGTAAACCTGAGGATATTGGAATTTATTCTTCTGCCTTCGTCTTCTTGCCTGCAAGCAACCATTACAAAGACGAAATGTCCCTGCCTCAATGAAGTGAGCTGCATTAGGGATCCACACTGCAACTAAAATTGTCACAAATGCGGCAAAAAATGTGCAAGAATCATTTATAATCTATTCACAATTGGTGACAAGTGCTTTGTGTGCATCCATATTCAGTTTTGTCAGATACCGTCTTGTGCATACCTGTGTTGAATGCCAATGAAAAGCGACTCTTATGAACTGGTTGTTTGTAATGATTTATTTGAAAAAAACAGATTCAACAGTTTGAATCAGATTCAGTGAATCATTTAGAGCTGGTTCTGAGTTTACAAGTAGCTCCCTCACTGAACTGCCAAGCATTTTTCATGGCCGATTCATAATTAACCAAGAATCATTAAACAGAAGCCGCATCTAGGTGGCATATCTCTCTATTGGCTTTTTTTTTTAATTAATCAGATACCATCTTGTGCAAACCAGTGCTGAATGCCAATGAAAAAATTACTTTTATGAACTGGTTGTTTGTAATGAATCATTTGAAATAACAGATTCATCAGTTAACAGTTTGAATCAGATTCAGTGAATCATTTAGAGCTGTTACTGGGTTTACAAGTGGCTCCCTCACTGAACTGCCAGACATTTTTCATGTTCAATTCAAAATTAACCAAGAATCATTAGCTGGAAACTGCACCTAGGTAGCATATCTCTTTATTGGCTTATTTTTTATTAATCAGATACGATCTTGTGCATACCAGTGTTGAATACCAATGAAAAATGACTCTCATGAAGTGATTGCTTGATATGAGTTATTCATAAAGATTCATGAAACAGATCGAATCATTTAGAGCTGTTACTGAGTTCACAAGTGACTCCCTCACTGAACTGAGAGTAATTTTTCAAGTCCGATTCAAAATTTACCAAGAATCATTACTGTTAGATATGGTTTAAGTTTATGTTGAATAAATTAACAATGGTGTTCTAAAAAAAATCCGATATTTTCCTTTTTTTTTTTTTTTTTTACTAAATTATTTAATGAATGAATGAAATTATTGGTTATTTGTTAAAATTATGTTGAATTATACAGTTGGATCAACTGTATGTCAAGTTTTTTTTTTGGGGGGGGGGGGGACATTGTCACTATAATCAACACAGCATTTGACTTTTGATGTTTATATGGCAGAAATATTATGATCAAATTTAGAATAACACCCTGGATTTTATACCTTTATACAACATTGTTCCTTTGTCACATCTAGAGCATCTAGAGCAGAATGAACTGTCACTCTGTCAAGCGATTTTGTAATTTATCAACTGAATAATCATTTGGCTCTTAAATATTTCATTCATCATTTCTTTGTTGGTCTGCAGCCTCGTACATGCAGAAAAAGAACTGACTCGGGTCACAGTATTGTGCTTAGATTGACTGCTAACTTGAAAACATCATAAAACTTACATGAGGTCAGTTGACATAATTTCAGCTTGATCCATGACAGTTACTGCCACTCAGATCCAGGGCTTGCAGTTGTGTTGGCAGATCTCAACAGGCTTTCTCTCAATTTGATGCAACCTCTCCCGTCTGTGCACAGGGCCAAATTGCTACGCGGACACAGCGGTGATCCCGGCCGGCCGAGAGGTTAAGATCGACGAATGTACCATCTGCTACTGCACGTACGAGGAGGGCACCTGGCGTATCGAGCGGCAGGCCACCTGCAGCAAGAACGAGTGCCAGCCGAGCTAAGGCTCGAGACCATCAGCCTTCACCCGGACAGCTGCGGAGATCTGGATCACCCGTCCCAGCTGTGGTCCGTATGGGCTCAGCACAGCAGCCCTGAGCCTCACATGCAGCCAAGACGCCGGCATCGCGTGCCGATACATCCGTCGGTCATTTGTGACCGTTCATGACTATGAACTCAGAGTGTCCTGTAGCATGCAGCGGACGGGCCAATTAACCTGGGAACAAGGCCAAGGGCCAGAGTGCGAAACGCTACTTTCCTCTCGCTACCACGGAGCCTCTGAGTTGGCATAGAGTCATGACGAGTGATGAGATTCATACGTTAGAGTTACATGTATAGTCTTAGGAGGCATGGGGTCAAATTCAACTATATTAATACTTCAAGTTTGTATTGAGATTTATAACCCATTTAAAGGATATTTATTTATGTATGTGCGGGTTCAACGATTATGATTGGATTCAGATATCTGATTTACAGTGAAATTATATTTTTTATAGCCACTGTATTTTGATATGCTGTAACGTTTTAATACCGGATCGACTTCAATCCGTCTTATTAGAATGTATAACGCACCTACAGCTGTCAATGTGTCTGAAGGAAACGTTTCGTCAAAGACTGTCAGGAGTGACACGTAACATCCAACACAACGCCAGGATAGTCAGAATGGATTCGGTCTCCATTCAAGGAAATCAAAAATGGAAAAAAAGCTGCTTGCAGATGTTTGCATTTATGTTAAGTCTCTATCGTGCTCTTATCTGAGGTCCGTTTTGCTAAGACGTGTTTCTATGTGTACGTGTTTTCATGTTTCAAATAAATCATTACACTGTGCACGCTTGTTTGTGAGTTAGACGCTGATGTGAGGTCGACTGAGGTTAGTTACCATTTTTAAACACAGGGCCATGCTTGAAATGTCATGAAAAATGAAATAACATGAAAAATGGCACAGATTTCATGAGGAATATTGAACCAGGAGGAGTGTCCGATCGAGTGGCCGGTCCAATAACTCGATGGTTTACATTTAGCTGTGTCAATAAAGAGCTCCGTATTAGCATTTTGCTTTCAATCCACTTAACCCCAAGTCTTCTGTTTTTGCTGTCAGTATACTAAATTGTAGTGTAAATAGCACTGGGTGAAAAGCAGTGTTATTTTAGTATCAGAGACTGAATTAGTTGAATTAGTTCTTTTTGTATTTTCCGTTCTCAATTTAATTTAAAAGTTTGAATAATTTTGTTGTGTTTTTGTCATGTTTCGTTTGTTTGGGAACACTTTAGTTTAGGGACCAATTCTCACTTTTAACTAGCTGCTTATTAGCATGCATATTACTACACTGTAAAAAAAAATCTGTAAAATTTACGGTAAAAAACCGGCAGCTGTGGTTGCCGGAATTTTACTGTAAAAAATATGGTAGCAACGTTTTAGGTTTTACAGTTTTAACTTAATCTTACAGTTAAATACCGTAATTTTATTAACTGATATAATGTTAATATATCAACCTATTGAAGTACTGAAATCTGTTTTGTACCTTTGTAATACACTGATAACCACCAATGCAGGTGGTGATGAGAAAGTCACATGATGAACCAAAGCCCATCACAAGCAGCTTTTAAATAATAACATATATAGAAGGTGCACAGTGTCATTCACACAAACACTAAACACCATCATGGTAACACACATGAAACTGAAATAATGCAATAAACATTAATTTAACAACATTAGGTGTAACACACAACACTAATATACAAAACTGAGAAGAAAAAACTGAGAAGAAACATAGTTATTTCAACAAAAACAAATCAAACTTGAAATGTAACGCAGGGAATTCTGGGAATGTCAATTTACGGTTATTCACTGTAAGCTATACAGTCTTTTTCCACTTCCAAAAACGGTATACTACCGTAAAATTAATGTCCAATACATGTAATGTCCAATACAGTTTTTCACCGTATATAGTAGGGGAATTTACCGTTAACCATTTAACAGGTTTTTACTGTAGCATTTATACAGTCTTTTACCGTTAAATTCACGGTCATTTTTTACAGTGTAGCATATTGGCTGTTTATTAGTACTTATAGAGCACATATTAATGCATGACCAAATTCTATATGCCTTAACCCGACCCAACACCTAAACATAACTACTAAAACAACCTGCTATCAATAAGCAACAAATAAGAAGTTCATTGAGGGAAAACTGTAAGTTAACAGTGAATATGTATTCTCTAATCTAAAGAGTTACTGTCTGTATAGATTTTAGTTTTTATTTCAGTTTGTTTTAGTACATAAACTAAATGAAAATTAGAATTGTTGTACATTTTCGCTTTATGTTTGGTTTATTTCACACAACAATTTTTTTTATTTTTATGGATTTAGTATTAGTTACCTACCAATAACCCTGGTGAAAATCTCCTGCAGAATGACACATAAAATAATTAACACTGGGTAATATAAAAATTACAACTGGAGCACTGTCAAATATAAAACTACAGTTATTACATACAGCTGCAGCAATGTCTTCATAATCTAACCCTTTAAAATAAATGTAGTTGGTATGACCTAGATTGATTCTGAAATACAGAATATTTTTGACTTGATTAAAGCCAGTTCATTTAGATGTTACCACATGAAGCACATTTTTAGGTTACCTGACAAAATATGTTTTACACTGAGAGCAGAAGTGTAAAAATACTGTGAATCATACCCAGCTCTGATTTGCTTATTTTAATCAAACTCCCACTCTGGGGAAACTGTCTTGTTGAACTTCATCACACTGAAGAAAGAACAGAAGCTAAAAAGATCCTCACAATTCTGCTGTTCATGTTAGGAAATTGGAAGGGACATCAACTGCACTGCAGTATTTCTCATTTTTGAGACCCTAGTGGAGATAAAAATCAACAACAGATTTTAAATACATAGGATTTTTTGTAATAAACCTTTTCAAATGTGATGGTCATGTAGGATAATGATCACAGCTAATGTAGTTAGTATATGTATACTATGCATTAAATAATCACATATGTCTTCCCAGTTCAGGTCTTGGAGCATCTAATAATGAGATGATGAGTGGAAATGTCAAAATGTGCAGTTCTGGGCTACTCCAGGACCACTGGACTGAGAAACACTGATCTAGATGATTCAGTCAGCTCAAACACCTCCCACTGATGGAGATGTGAGATACATGTAAGATGTGTCTGTGCTTGAACAATAAACAACAGTGCCTTGTTCCATACTGCCACTGCTCATATAAATGCAGTCAGATTAAAAGAGGAACATTTTCTTATTAAATTAAAATAAGCATGATTTTAGACCAGTGTTATTTTAGTATCATTTGCATGTTATAGTATTTATTAATATTTTGAATTAGTAATTTTTTTTATTTTATTATCTTTTATTTTTTATATACTTTTTTTATTTTAATACTTCAGCTTGTATTTATTTTATTTATTTTAGTTGTCAAAGCAACATTTCTAATTTTTGGTACTTTAGCATTTTTTTTTTATTTAATTTGTTTTATTTAAGCATTATTTCAATTGCTAAAATCATTATTTGAATTACGGAATTCGTTTTTTTATATATACCTTTACATCAATCACTAGAATAGTTTTAGTTTCAGTTTTAGCAAACAATAGCACTTTTTTAGAAACTAAATGGCATTTCTTCATTAGTATGCACCATGTTTTTAAAACTGACCTTTAATGGGCATGTCAACCATTTGATTAAGGTCAATATTTTTCATTAAAGGTCAGAATTAAAAACAAGTGCACAAATGACTCATGTTTTTAGAAGACATTTATCTCCAGTAATTTCTGTAGGGACAGTTCAAGTGTTAACGCACAATGACTGCTGTAATTTGCTCTAAACCAAACAAAGCAGTATTGAAAATGCTCATCATTAATTTAACGCGAGAGACTCAAAGTGAAGTTGACAGTTTCATGTGACAGGATAATATGCCCCAACATCAGGTGTGATATCAAAGATGCACATGCTGAATCTTGCATCAAAGTAATTCAATCAGATCCCTCCTGCCATATGACAGCTCTTAAATGCAGTTGGGTTTGATGTCAAGAGCTCTGCCGCTAACTGAAAGCTACAAAGAGCGTAACACGGGTTAGCTGAGTAGATTATACAGTACTAAATTTTATTCCGTTGCCACTTCAGTGTGTCGAGGCTCTCAGCAAACAAACGGCAAGTCTATCTTCAGGATTTTCTTCAGCAGCCTCATTTACGCATAGAGACGGCAATTAGTTTTTGGGATTAAAGATGAGGGTTTATATTGAGAGGTTTATATTTCCCTCATGATGTTTTATCAGCAGTTAATAATGTGTCCAATCAATTAAAAGAGCATAAAATTACACAACATAATTACAGGCAGATTATGAATAACGGAGCAGAATTATGGGTTTTAAAAGAAACTGTTACTGGATTATACAGAAACGAATGTTCATTCAAGAAGTTGTTTCAAATATGTGTTTACATGCTCCCTGTCTTTAAACCAGGGTGGCCAGACAACCGGTGCATCCCTCCTGTAGCAAAACGTGCCTTCGGGCAAGACTGGGGGATTGTGGGAAAATGAAGCCAGATGCGTGCACATACATGACAGAAGAGCTGATCACCCCCCGGCATCTCCCTGTGCTTCAATCTATCTCTTTCTTTATCTCTGATCACCTCCAATGTCTCTTTCTCCCTCTTGACGTCTCAGCTGTGGGGCTCAATGGATTTGGAATCATGGATTTCGTCATGCATCCTTTTGTAAAGTCTGACACCCTGCTGGCTGTACACAATTGCCATTAAAGTGTCTCTTTCCCACAGTATCACTTATCCCCTCTTCGGCTTTTCTTACATCAATCTAGCCATCTATTAGATGAGAATACTTTCTTTTATATTTCCCTGTTCAGTTCTTCAGCTTTGACCTTAAAACGAGCTCTTATCATGGGCCAAAAGATGTGGATGCTCGGCTGTTTTATGTATCCCATACACAATTTTTTTTTTTTTTAAGGAAAACAGCCTTTTTTTGATAGTTTCGGCTCTATTTGGTCTTACTAGTTGAGCTCAATTATTAAAACTAACTCTAATGACTACACAGTCGAGGGTAGCCTGAATTAGTTTGCCCCTTTGAAATGGAATTCCCCAAGTGTCTTAATACCAGCAACTCCGTCTGTCTTCAAAGGGAACTTTTAATGAGGGAATCTGTTACACAAACTAAAACCGCTTACCCTGCGCTGCATCTAAAATTTCCCCTAATATACGAACGTCCCCTGGTCATTCAAATGATAGTAAATGCTTCTCCCTTAACAAGCAATGACATTCATTTCTGGCTTGTAGCCAGATTACTTCTTACATGGCTAATACCCCATTAAACAAGTCTGTCAATCTGTGCTGATTTCCTCTGGATCAAGCTGCATTCCCACTGGCTGAAATCTGGAGGAGTTTCTGACACAGAAACCACAAACTGCTGTGCGAAATGATTAATTGAGTGATTTTGTCAGTAATTGTGTTTGTGTAAGGTATAAAATGAACAATAAGCGTTTGGCTGTGTTCTATTAGCAAGATGTCCACATCGCTTCGAAACAGATAAAGAGGAAATTTCACACTCTGATTTCTGGCCTTCTTACACACAGCACTATAAATGACAATTAAATGATAGC